GAACCCGCCACCTTAGGTGTACGTGGCTGGTGCCTTAGCCGGTTGAGCTATAGGCGCCGCGCCCAAGTATGGACTCTTAAGATGTTTTGGTTTTCGGCTCAGCGCCTGTAGCACGGTGATTATGGCGCCAGCCACCTACACCTAAGTTGGCGGGTTCAAGCCCAGCCCTGAACCAGTTAAAGCAACAATGACAAATGCAATGAAAAATTGCCAGGTGTTGTGGTGGGCGCCTATATTCCCAGCTACTTGGGAGGCTGAAGCGAGAGAATGGCTTAAGCCCAAGAGTTTGAGGTTGCTGTGAAGCTGTGACATCACAGCACTCTGCCAAGGGTGACATAATGGGACTCTGTCTCCAAAAAAAAAAATTTTGGTTTTCTTTCTTACTGTGAACTTACTCTTGTCAAAATGTTAAACTCATGTACTCCACTAATGTTTAATTCATCCACTTTTCTTCTTTCCTTTTTCTCTTTTTTTTCCTTTATCTTCTTCTTTATTCTCTCTTTTTTTTCTTACTTTTTAAAAACAATCTCTGTCTGTTGCTTTAGCTAGTGTGCAGTGGTGCCATAGCTCATTGCAGCCTTGCAACCTCAAACTCCTGTGCTCAAGCAATCCTCTTGTCTCAGCCTCCCACGCAGCTGAGACTAGACACCTACCACCACACCCAGATAATTCTATTTTTAGTAGAGATGGCGTTTTGTCCTTGCTCAGGATGGTCTTAAACTCCTGAGCTCAAGTGATCCTCCTGCCTCACCCTCCCAGAGTGCTAGGATTACAGGTGTGAGCCACCATGCCTAGCCATAATTCTTACAGGTTTCTATTCTAGAGTAGTGTGTTTCCTTTTCCTTTAAAAAACTTGTTAGAAGAATAAATTTTAAAAGAGGAAGAGAATTATATGCATACTCAGCCATTCACAGGTTAATTTTTCTTTTACAGATATTCTTTCACTTTTATAGGGAAAAGGGGAATCAATAAGTCAATTTTTTTGCAGTTTGATTAAACTCATTATTTTTTATTTTCCTAAAAGTATACACTCTACCTGTGAATGTTCTGTGAAGCTTTTGACATAATTGATATCAGCGTGATAGTCCACAAGACATGTGGACCTGTTGCACCAACCCATCCAACCTGTTAACATTTAGAATCTATACAAATGTAACTATTGCTAATAGTGTTTACCTATTTTGTTATTCACGTGTTAGACGGTGCTTTTTAGCATACAAAATAGCTTTTAGTTTTAATACTCACATGTAGTAAAATCTGTTCTTGTTGTTGTTTGTTTTTTTGAAACAAAGTCTCATTCTATTACCCTGGGTAGAATGCTATGACATTATAGCTCATAGCAAATGCAAACTCTTGGGCTCCAGCAATCCATTTTTGTCTCAGTCTCCTGAGTAGTTGGGACTAGTTTCCTGCCACAGTCTCTGGCTAGATTCTTCAGTTTTTAGTAGAAATGGGGTCTCACTCTTGCTCAGGGTGCTCTCAAACTCTGGAGCTGAATTCATCTGTGTCAGCCTCCCAGAGTTCTAGGATTATAGGTGTGAGCTACTGCACCTGGCCTGCAGTAAAATCTTAAAAATATTTATGTGATGGTTAAAAGATCTAATTTATACTGAAGTCCTCTGCATGTGTGGAGGTGGTACAAATGTTTTTGTTACATGGATAGCTTTTTTTTTAAATAGAGACAGAGCCTACTTTGTTGCCCTTGGTAGAGTGCCCTGGCATCCACACAGCTCACAGCAACCTCCAACTCCTGGTCCTAAGCAATTCTCTTGCCTCAGCCTCCCGAGCAGCTGGGAGTACAGGCGCCTGCCACAATGCCTATTTTTTGGTTTCAGTTCGGCCAGGGCTGAGTTTGAACCTGCCACCCTTGGTATATGGGGCCGGCACCCTACTCACTGAGCCACAGGCGCCGCCTTACTCACTGAGCCACAGGTGCCACCCTACATGGGCATCTTTTATAATTTGATTTTATGACTGAGTAGTACTCTATGGTGTGTCTGTGTTCATGGAAGGAATGGGGCATATGTATACAGTAGTACCTCTGTTAAGTTGACCACCCAAGGGACTCTGACAGACCAGTCAATATATGGAGGTAGTCAACATAAGGAACTGATACGTACATGTGGTGCCTGTCTAGTCTTATGAAAATGAAGTCAACTTGAGATAGTCCGTGTAGGGAGGTGATCAACTATGGAGATTCTACTGTGTATGTATGTGTGTATATTCACACACACCACATTTTGTCAGTTTCTTAAAATGTAGGAAAAGGATGTGTCTTAAAATTGAGTATGTGCCTTGGATATTACTGCACTCTGCTTCTTTTACCTTATCAATATATTATGAAAGCTTCTCCTTGTTAGTTTTTTTTTTTTAACTCTACCTCATTTCTTTATAAACAATTGTATAGTTTTGTTTCATTGGTAAAGGAAGGCATTACGCTAATTTTGAAATTGTTCACAATGAGGACATGACAACACGTTTTAACCCCATGTTTAGTTTTAAATATTCCTTTCCAGTTTTGTTACAGATAACTTTTGTTTACTTTTTAAAAATATATAAATTAGGAAGTGGATTTTGAATTCCAAAATAGGAGGAATTCACTTTATTCTTATAGCTTCTATCCATATTTGTAGATATAAATATTCAGTATTCCTCTGTACCTTCTCTGTCTTTATTTTTACACAGGCTATGTAGAACCAATGCAAACGCTCAATGATGTTTTAGCGCAGCTAGATGCTGTTGTCAGCTTTGCTCATGCATCAAATGGAGCACCTGTTCCCTATGTACGACCAGTCATTTTGGAGAAAGGACGGAGGAGAATTATATTGAAAGCATCCAGACATCCTTGCGTTGAGGTTCAAGATGAAGTTGCGTTTATTCCTAATGATATATACTTCGAAAAAGATAAACAGATGTTCCACATCATTACTGGTAAATAACTTAGTTTATGGACTTGGGGAGAAATAATAACATTTTCCTCTTTTTATGCTGTTGTAGAAATATATTGAAAACTGACCAAGAAAATTCCAGTCCTTGATACTAAAATAAGAACACGTTATTCATACTTGTTAGTCATATATTCACATTTGGATTAGAGGGAAGATTTGGAAGGTGGGATATAACCTTATGAGAGAATATTGTGTTCACATAAAACTTCTGTTCCTGGAGTTCAAAGCTTTTTTTTTTTTTTTTTTTTTT